TGTGTGTATATATGTGTATGTATATTTTGTGTGTATGTATGTTTATGTGTTGTTAATGTGTGTGTATTGTATGTATGTATGTATGTATATATGTATGTATGTATGTATGTATGTATGTATGTATGTTTGTGTGTGAATGTGTATATATATGTGTGAATGTATATGTGTGTGGTTACGGTTTGACTGGTTACATCGCTACGACCTTTTTTTTTATAGCCAAGAGGTTCACCTGGGCCTTCGGCCCAACCTACATCCTCTCAGGCCCGAGAGCAACCTTTAGAGTATATTTAAGGACCCGGAGAGCAATACCTTAAATACACTCCTCCCTCCCCATCAACTGGTTTCGAACTCGCGACCGAGGCCCAGAGAGTAACACATTTTCGCCATTCGGCCACCCACTGATGGATTACATCGCTACGACTTGTAAATGGAGTATTATGATTTCTTTTAATTGTTAGCTATTAGAAAACTGATTGGTTAAACCATAACCACTCGTAAATACAATAAAATTTGAAAAATCAAATAACAATTTATCACATACATTTTAATACCGATTAACATTTGAATAAAATAATAAAATTATCTCGTTTAAATCAAAATATAATCGTAGATGCAATATTTTAAAAATTAAAATACAAAAATAAAAGAAAAACAACAAAAAATCGCTTATTACTACATTTGTTCTTCTTAAATTACAATAAAAATAACTTACTTATTTATAGAAAATATTAATAAAAAAACTTACAATAAACAATATATATATGATGAGAATAAATAAATTAAGAGATTTTAATCTTCTCAAATTGATTTTTAATTAATTTTGTATCTCTAACTTCTCTTAATCATCTTCATAATTATTTTCGATCTTCATTGTCAATCTTGGAGAAAATAGCTGAAACAACTAAACAAAATAAAAATATTTTAATTGTTATTAAAAACATCCATAACCGTCAAATTTGGATTTTTAGAATATATTGATCTATTTTTAGATTATTTTGTTTGATCTTAAAATTCTAGTTTTTCTCATCATGTCATAACATATCGCTTAATCCATGATTTTTTAGTTTTGACTTTATTTGTTTAACACTTTATTTGATTCTCGATCATTTTCCTCTTTAATCGATTTGGTTACAAATATTAGAGACTATAAAACTAAAAAAACAAAGATAAGATATAAAGTTGATCGTATCACTCGGATATCATTTTGAAAATTAAAACACGAAAAGAAAATAAAAGAAAAGAAATATAAAATCGTTTATTACCACATCTCTTCTTCTTAAATTATAATGAAAATAGTTTGCTTATTTATAGAAAACACTAACAAAATAAATTAATCGATAATTAAAAAACAATTGATTTTTAATTGATTTTGTGTATCTATTTTCTCTTAATCATTTCCATAATTAATTTTAATCTTTTCAAATTTACATTTATTTCTTCATTTCATCATAATCAACCATTCACTTTTAAATCGTAATCATCATCTATTGATGTCATCAACAACTAATTAATCAATGTTAATCGTCCATAGTCACTAATAAATATCTGAAAACGTCTGCATTCACAACCACAAATAACCTTTTTCTACTCATAGAAACGGTCTTTGATTGTGTACATAATTATATACTATAGAGTTTGCACAAATATTATTTCATACTTCCCAATTAAAAGCATTTGTGGAAGTAAGGAAAGATTAGGAAGCAAGCAATGCAGTTGAAATCAACTATCAACAACTTAAAATGTTGATATTTATGTTTTCATGTTACATTCGTACAACGAAAAGAAGTGTAAGAATTTTATTGTATGGGGTATAGATAAATTATTATGGAATAAATATTAGCATTCAGATTAGCCCAAATTAAATCGAATTTGGTTTTAATATATTGGATTCCGATATTAAAACGAGTGTAAAAAAATGATATTGTTGAGATCATTTGTAGTATTGTTTTATATTTTCTGATGAACCAAGTTAAACGATATAATTAAGAACCGAATGGTTAATCGACTATCATCGATTATGATTCATATGTATATCTGTATATAAATGAGGACTTAGACGATTTATTTTAACTTTTAAAAATTCATTATTCTAAAATATAAGATATTACGAAACTCTTTTTAATATTACTTTCTATGAGTGTACATGTTTGTCAAGTTACATGATGAATAAGAAGATCATTTCTGATTCATTTCATAAATTATGAATACCAATTATTATTCCTATTTTCTATTCGATTTTTCATTTTTTTATATAAAAAACGTAATAAATTTGACCGAGTTATTCATAAATTCCTTCAATAATGGCCCTCATATATTTTTTTTTTGATAAAAGGTACAAATATATTAATAAATAAAAAGTTCGTATACAAAATCGGTTAAGACCGAATAACATACAAAAGAAAATACCCATGTGCCACTAATTTGACACCATAACATTCAAGAGAAAAACAACATGTTTAAACAGCTATCGATGTGAGAGAGCAATGGCATACCAATCAACTAGAAGAGCATGATCAATTCTTCGACTGGAGCCGAGAAGAGAGAGTATGCAGTTTCGAACCATAGCGTTCAGATTACCGCATAGGGAATCTATCGTAGATGACGCACCTCGGAAGATCCTCGTGTTCCTTTCCGACCATAGCAAGTAGACCGAGCATTGTAGCAGAATTGAAGCAATAAGGCATCGGTTATGTGACTGGTCATTACCCGGATTACGTATCCAGGCCACAGTGTCATGCAAGTCTAGGGGCGCCAAGTTTCAAATGTACCTGGCGAATTTGTGCCATACCTGTGTGCTGTAGCTGCACCTGAAGAAGAGGTGGGAGTGAGATTCTTCTTCCAAGCTGCAAAGTAGGCATGTGGAGGATGCCACCGCCCCCCAGCGATACAACCTATCCCGTGTCGGGAGACGGCCACGGAGAGCCAACCACTGGATGAAGCCGTATCAAGGTACCCCCTCGGAGAACCAAGCAAGGGAGTGTTAGGGCACCTCGGGCGATGACTGATGAAGGAGTTTCCATGTATTTGCAGAGGAGAAGGTACCGACAAAGACATTGGAGCCCTTCATCCACTCAAAATTGTCCGGGCCTTGTGCCGCAGTGGGTAACCGTAAAGTGGACAGCTGCTTGATGTGGAGATCCAACACATGTTGCGATCTAGCTGCCGGAAGAGACCACCCCGTATCGGAAACTGCATCTGCTACCCTGGCCCCATGAGGGATCCTCAACAGTCGAGGGCCTCCATCACCAATGTACTCTATCAGGGGGCCGAGATCTGTCCATCCATCAAACCAAAACATAGCCTTCTTACCATCGTCCAAGGAGCAACGCAGGAACCGTCTCACCACAGGTTTAAGTTGGAGCAGTTTCCTCAGATTCTAGGAGTGTCTCGTGGAAGGAAGGGTATCCCAGTAGCCCTTGCGTTGAAGAACATGTTTCCACATCCACGCCACCCAAAGGGATCCTGATTTCTGAAATAGCAACCATACTAGCTTCAAGCGAAATACCATGTTAAAATCTTTCAGCTTACGTATGTTTAGCGCCCCCTCAGATTTTGGCTTACAAACTTCAGTCCATGCAACTCTAGGAATCGCCGATGAGCTGGTGCTTGATTTCCAGAGAAACTTCGAGCACATATCGTCAATGGTCCTTAGGACACCCTTTGGTAAGACAAAGGATTGAGACCAAGAGTTGACCATCCCGTAAATGATGGAGGAAATAAGTTGTATTCTGCCCGCATAAGATATATATTTGGTAGTCCACAAGGATATTCGTCGAGATATCCTGTCAATAAGCGGCCGAAAGTCGTGTTTGGAGAGTTTCCAGGGGCTGAGAGGCAGACCCAAGTAGATCATTAGTAGAATCCCCAACCAAAGTCCCAAGGCCGAGCTAATGCAGCCCGTCTGCTGGTCTGACATCAATAGAAGCAATAGAAGCAAATAACCCATATCTAATACAAGGCTCTTACAAATAAATAAAAAAAACAATAAAAAGCCCAATATCTAATAAGATGTTTAATTTAGATGTCATCAAGACAACATATGGAAGATCTCGACAAGAGAGACGACAGTTTTCTGTCAGATAACCTAAACGGCGCCGTAGAGCCGCCGTACTTATTATCCCCGCGGATCTTCTCAAGGCTAAAGCCTGTTTGTTCAGACAGCTCCTCCGCTTCGTATTCAGTCGATATCACCTTGTCGAAACACACGTATCTTCCATACACCGCCTTCTGCATGGCTTCGTAAACTCGCACGTGCGCTTTTGCGAGATTGTCCACGTCCACCGTTGCTAGTAGCCCATTTGCATACATTTCGTGTGCTCCTACATATAAAAATAAAATAAAATAAAATAATACAAAAATCTCTCATAATTGCGCTACATGTCATGTTTCAGAAGACGAGAGACGTCTCAACTAGAAATTTAATTCGAAGCATGACTCCTACATCGTGTTTATTACAACAAAAAAAAAAGAAAGAAAAGAAAATGAATAATGCATTATTTTATATAGATTATTTGGTACGATTAACATTTTAACAACGATTAACATTTGAATAAAACAATAAAATTATCTCGTTTAAATCACAATATAATCGTGATGTAATCTTTTAAAAATTAAATACGAAAATAAAAAAACAACAAAAAATCGTTTATCACTACATCTCTTCTTTTTAAATTATAATAAAATAACTTGCTTATTTATAGAAAACATTAATAAAAAAACTTACAATAAACAATATCTATATGATGAGAATAAATGAACTAAGATTTCAATCTTGATTTTGCCATTCATATAAATGCATGCATGTTATAGCGGCACAATATATCGTAGAAAACTATATAATTAACGCCGCTGTATGATATTATGAGTAATCAATTCATGAGAAGTGGGTGGGGTACGTACTCTTGGTTGGGAATTGCATGCAAATATGCAATAAGTAATCATATAAATATATAAATATATATATATATATATATATATATATATAACCTTTAAGATAAGCAATTGTAGGGGTGGGATGGTGGTAAAGTAGATTAGGGGTTGTGATGAGGGCAGGGCATATAGTTGATAGTTTCAAGCCCTTAGCCTCGGCTATTTTCCATGCAGTTTTCTCTGCCTTCAATTTTCCTAATGCGTACCAAAGCTGCCAAAAACATTCAACCCATCAAAATTCAGTACTATATATATATATAGTGTATAATTGTTATTATAAAAGAATCATTGTTATTGTTATTATTTGAAAATAAAAATTTAATTTCTAATTCCATAATTTCATAACAAAATCCAAAATAAAGAGTAATAACATTTAAATTTCTGTATTGCTTGATTTTCGACGATAGAATGATTCATCCCAACAAATAACATAACATTTTTGCAACATATAAAATATCATATAACATGTAATTTGAAGATAATTCTATTATTGCATCTAAACAACAATATCCGGTCAAGATGTTTGAACACGGAGAAATTACCTTTTTATCCACGCAGAGGGACTCGTCACTCCAGCAAGAATGATCAATCACTGGAGGAAGCTCGGACTGCGTGCCGTTTCGCCAAATGCAAGCCAACAGCGAGGAAGTCAAGACACATTTCCTCACGCTCTCCGTCCTCGCACATGCCTCCATCACATTCTCGCTCACCTTTGCTTCCACCTCAGCCATATATTTCTGCACACCAACGCATACATTATATATATATATATATATATATATATATATATTATGTAAAACCAACACATATCTTTCTTATGTAGTAGCATATAAGATTTTTAAAATTATATATATATATATATATGATACAGTTGGAAATTCACGTTACACTGTCATGCATTGATAGGAGGAATGATCAATTTCCTCGACAAAAAAGAGTAAATAGCCTGCCTATGTGGACGCATTGATACATCTAAAGTACTATACACACGTATATTGTGCTGTATGTATTTGTCGTGAGTCGATACATACACGCGTATGAAGCTACAAACGTCACGAGAGGGGAAAAAAAAGGGTCACTGAGAGTTTTGCCCTAGAGATGAGCACCAATTAGACATTTTGGTAAACAGCATTGATTGGATGTTGAAGACTTGAAAATGACATTTGACGTGCTATTTTATTCAGTTCGAATTTGTATATGGTTAGCCATTTCGATCAATAAATTGTTTTAGATGGATAATATAAATTTGTTAGGTCTAATATTATGATAATTTCTCGATCGATGAAATAGCACTCTTCGTTTTAAAATAAGATGAAAGATTACCGTAATCAATTTCAACCTTTCAAATTGCAATATCGTAAAATCTTTCTTGGAAACGGCACCAACTTTTTGTGCCAGAATTAACTAACATTAATAGCTTTTGCCTTTAAAAAAATACTCCCTCCAATTTCACAACGTTTTAGTTTTTTTTTTCATATTTTAAAAATAAAAAATAAAAAATCATATATGTCCTTTAATAATACAAAGATTGATGTTATCATTAATAATCTATTGAAATTTGTTAATTTTTTATTAAAGATAAAATTTTAAAAAAAAATTAAAATTTTGTCTAGAAAATCTAAAATGACAATTAGTTAGAAACAAAAAAATTGTTTAAAACGTCAAATATTATAAACGGAGTGTTAAGAAATAAATGTAAAAGTGTTATGAATGTCTATATTTATTTTACTCATGTAACTCTTTTTCTTATTAATTCAAATGATGTTGTTTCTTTTTCTAAAGCCTATAAATAGACATTTGTAATCACATTTGTAAACACACCAAAAACACCAAGAAGAAGGAATAACAAAGAATAAAGATTCTCCCTCTTCGTATATCTTTTGCATTTTTAGTTCTTATTATTTTTACAACACATTATCAGCACAAAGTTATTCGAAATAATTTTGTTATTATTTCATTTGCATATTTTTTTATATATCATATTATAAAATTATTATAACTAAGTATGCTCTACACTCGCCATATATATGGATCTTGTGTATCAGAAAAGTTATAATTCATTCTAATGATTTATATTTATCATTTGGTTATTTTATACTTTTAGTTATCTTATTTGGTATTGATATATAATTTCTATTGCTTTTAGTTTATTCAATATTTATTATTATTCTTTATATATTATGGATAAATATCATTCTGAGCTCCAAGTTGAGGATATATGTCTTATAGACAGTGCGACAACGCACACTATTCTTAAAGATAAGAAATATTTCTTGAATTTGAGAAATGATCGAACACATGTCAATACTATATCATGATATGCACAAATAATTGAGGGCTCTGGAAGAACAAGTTTTATTATGCCAAATGGCACAAAACTCATGATCGAAAATGCATTATTTTCGCCTAAGTCTCAAAGAAATTTGTTAAGTTTTAAGGATATTCGTTCAAATGGATATCATATTGAGACTATGAGTGAAAGAAATATTGAATATCTTTGCATTACCTCAACTATGATGGGCAAAAGATATATGTTAGAAAAACTATCTGCGTTCTCATCTGGATTATATTATATAACTATGAGAATGAGTGAATCATATAATACAGTAAATTCAAAATTTACTAACATTGTAAACCAGAAGTTTACAGATACATTTAAGGTTTGGCATGACAGATTAGGCCATCTTGGTTCAACAATGATGCGAAAAATTATTAAGAATTCATGTGGTCATGTATTGAAAAACCAGAAGATTTTTCAATCCCACGAATTCTCTTGTGCTGCATGTTCCAAAGGAAAGTTGATAATAAGGCCCTCACCAACTAAGATAAGAAATGAATCGTTAACATTTTTGGAACGAATTCATTGTGATATATGTGGCCCAATTCATCCACATGTGGACCATTTCGATATTTTATGGTTCTGATCGATGCATCAACTCGATGGTCACATGTGTGTTTGTTATCATCTCGTAATTTAGCTTTTGCAAGGCTACTTGCACAAATAATACGATTACGAGCACATTTTCCTGACTATCCAATAAAAAGAATTCGACTCGATAATGCTAGTGAGTTTACGTCCCAATCATTTATAACTTATTGTATGTTGGTTGGAATAAAAGTGGAACATCCTGTAGTTTATGTTCACACTCAAAATGGTCTAGCTGAATCATTTATAAAACGAATCCAATGGATTGCGAGACCTATGCTTATAAAATCTAATCTCCCTATAGGGGCCTGGGGACATGCTGTTCTACATGCATCACAACTTATACGAATTAGACCAACAAGTTACAATGATATTTCTCCATTACAATTGGTTCATGGTCAGGAACCAAATATTTCCCATTTACGAATATTTGGATGTGCGGTATATATTCCAATTAGTCCACCACAACGCACAAAAATGGGACCCCAACGAAGGATGAGAATTTATGTTGGATATGAATCACCATCTATAATCAAATATATTGAACCAACGACTGGAGATTTATTTACTGCAAGATTTGCAGATTGCCATTTTGATGAATCATTATTCCCAACATTAAGAGGGAATAATAAACAACTGGAGAATGAGATATCATGGAATGAATTATCATTAAAAGGTTTAGATCCTCGAACAAAAGATTGTGAACTAGAAGTTCAAAGGATAATTCATTTGCAAAGTATTGCAAATCAACTGCCAGATGCATTTACTGACCACAAAAGAGTAACAAAATCTCATATTCCAGCTGTAAATGCTCCTATTAGAATTAATGTATATGAAGAGCAACCTACGATTGCTAGTGAGTCTAAGGCGCGTTTGAAGCGTGGTAGACCAATTGGTTCCAAAGATAAAAATTCTCGAAAAAAAAAGGAGCAAACAATTATGATAATAACGAGGATATTTCTCCAGAAGAGACCGTTGACATAGTTAATAATGAAGAGAATCAAGTACCTACAATTAATGATAATGAAGAGATCTCGATTAACTACGTCACTACGGGAAAACAATGGGACCGAAACAATATAATTGTCGACAATATTTTCGTATATAATATAGCGCGCGATATCATAAACGAAAATGAGGATCATGGACCTACCTCTATAGAAGAGTGTAAAAATAGAAAGGATTGGTCAAAATGGAAAGAGGCAATCAAGTCTGAATTAGAATCATTTAAAAAACGAGATGTCTTTGGACCTATAGTCCAAACACCGAAAGACATTAAACCAGTAGGTTATAGTGGGTATTTATAAGGAAAAGAAATGAACAAAATAAAATTATCAGATATAAAGTACGACTTGTTGCACAAGGTTTTACCCAAATACCCGGTATTGATTATGAAGAGACATATTCTTCTGTGGTGGATGCAATAACATTTCGATATTTAATATGTCTGGCAGTACATGAAAGACTTGAAATGCGCCTCATGGATGTAGTCACAGCCTATTTGTATGGATCATTAAATCATAATATTTATATGAAAATCCCTGAAGGATTTAAAGTGCCTGAAGCACATATTGATAATTCCCGGGAAATTTATTCAGTAAAGTTAAACAAAGCGTTGTATGAATTGAAACAATCAGGACGAATGTGGTATAATCGTTTGAGTGAATTTTTAACCAAAGAAGGTTATAATAATGATCCTATATGTCCATGCGTGTTCATAAAAACCATATGATCTAAATTCGTCATAATTTCTGTTTATGTAGATGATTTAAATATCATCGGTTCTCCTGAAGAGTTATTACAAGTTGTGCAATGTTTAAAAAAGGAGTTTGAAATGAAAGACCTTGGAAAAACAAAATATTGTTTAGGTCTTTAAATTGAACATCTAACAGATGGAGTTTTCTTACATCAATCTACTTATTTGGAAAAAGTACTTAAAAGATTTTATATGGATAAAGCTCATCCATTAAGTACACCCATGGTAGTAAGGTCATTAGATATTAATAAAGATGTGTTTAGACCTCGTGATGAAAATGAAGAACTACTTGGCCCCGAAGTGCCATATCTTAGTGCTATTGGAGCATTAATGTATCTTGCTAATAATACACGTCCTGATATATCTTTTGCCGTAAGTTTGTTAGCAAGATATAGTTCTTCACCAACTCGAAGACATTGGAATGACGTGAAACATGTATTTAGATATCTTCGAGGAACCATGGATATGAGTTTATATTACTCCAACATGACCAAATCAGATTTAATTGGTTATGCAGATACAGGATATTTATCATATCCGCATAAAGCCCGATCTCAATCAGGATATGTATTCACTTATGGTGAAACTGCAATTTCATGGCGTTCTACAAAGCAAATTTTGGTTGCAACTTCAACTAATCACGCAGAAATATTGGCGATTTATGAGGCAAGTCGAGAATGTGATTGGTTAAGATCGTTATCTCACCATATTCGGGGATCATGTGGACTTTCAACCGATAAAGATATTTCAACAATCTTATTTGAAGATAATACTGCATGTATAGCGCAGTTAAAGAATGGCTACATCAAAGGTGACAAAACGAAACATATCTCGCCAAAGTTCTTTTTCACTCATGACCTTCAAAAAAATGGTGAAATAAGTATTCATCAAATTAATTCAAGTGAGAATCCAGCAGATTTGTTCACTAAGTCTCTACCCAGATCGACATTTGAAAAGATGGTACACATAATTGGGATGCAGCATTTGAGAGATATAAAATGATGTTATTTTCAGGGAGAGAAAAAGATATATACTGCACTCTTTTTTCCTTCACCAAGTTTTATCCCACTGGGTTTTCTTGGTAAGGTTTTTAATGAGGCGGTATCAAAACATATCTTTTGATCAATAGACATTCAAGGGGGAGTGTTAAGAAATAAATGTAAAAGTGTTATGAATGTCTATATTTATTTTACTCATGTAACTCTTTTTCTTATTAATTCAAATGATGTTGTTTCTTTTTCTAAAGCCTATAAATAGACATTTGTAATCACATTTGTAAACACACCAAAAATACCAAGAAGAAGAAATAACAAAGAATAAAGATTCTTCTTCTTCGTATATCTTTTGCATTTTTAGTTCTTATTATTTTTACAATACGGAGAAAGTATTATCTTTTTATATAAAGTGTGGACATTATTATCTAATTTATGATTCATTAAAAATATTAATATTTTTTTATATGTAAATAGATAAAATTAACTTGATTTTTAAATCTCCATCGTTTAGTGTACTTGCGTGGATCATAAATCGAGGACTTTGCGAGCTTCCCTATCATAAATTATCCAATCGGAACACGACACGTGAGCATGTGAGTGTCTCACTCGACAGCGAATGGCCCATGTTAAAAGTGAAATAAATGCAGTGATTGATGTGTACGAAAAAAACATGGTGCATTTTTTAAACTGAAAATATGCAGTGCATATATATATATATATATATATATATTCGTATAACGTTATATATTTTACGCAAAAAAAAAAAAAAGATATGCATAGTAAGATGTCAAAGGGAAAGACCGTTGACACGCCGGAGGAATCGATGAACCCGGAAGTGTGGAAAACGCCGTTACATCCGTCAAAGGCTTCTACTAAGCTACCGACTTCCGTTAACTTCGCCGTCACGGCTTCCATTTCTCCGTGAAATGCTGCCGTTTCGTCCCTCATCTCCCTTACTCTCGATCCATCATCTACATTATGTGGCCCCATCTTTCAGTCACATATATAATCGCATATATATATATATATATTGTTGATATTTTACACACATACACATATATAATATATGCATAATGTGAAAGATACTACATCAAAAGGTTGAGATCATAGCTACTTACTCATGTATCGAAACAAGATTCGGCATTTATAAATGTGTTACAGCTGTCCGATCGTTCATCAATACACATATAAACAAACATATACATATACATATACATACACATACACTAACATTCATAATCAAGTACACACACAAGTGTGTGTGTATATATATATGTATATTCGTTCTTGATCAAGAGTTTCTTTTTTTTTTTTACGACGAGTTGGCCGGTTCAAACCAGCAAAAGCACCATCAACATATGCCCATCTTTGTCTCAAGTCTTTCCGTCATACATACATACATACATACATACATACATACATACATACACACACACACACACACACACACATACATACATACATACATACACACACACACACACACACACACATACATACATACATACATACATACATACATACATACATACATACATACATACATACATACATACATACATACATACATACATACATAATCATAATGAAGTACCTGGGCTATCAACAATGACACGAACAGAGTAGCCGAGAAGCAAGAGGCGTTTGACGATGACTCGGCCGACGAACGTAAGACCGCTCGTAACGCAGACAGTCTTAGCATTGTCTTCGAGCTCGTAGCCATTAATGCTTTGTCTGAAACCTTTGCGTCCGAACCCTTTTTCTTCATCTTCTTCTGCGGCGGCTATGGCGGATAAGGAACGCAGCTCCGTCAACTCGCCTCCGTACATCTCCGCCATTGAAATGATTCTCATTTCGTTAAGACTCTCTCTTGAAGGATTATATTTTTAATGGTGCAATGCAACTAAGAAAAAAAAACAGTAATGCGTGTGAGCGTTTTAAAGAGAAGGGGCATAGTTTTTTTTTTTTTTTTTTTTTAATAGAGCGATGCATCGAATCCGTGGGTGCCAGGTTGCGGTTCGGCTCGGCTCAATCTTGGTTTGGTTCTGTTGGGTTCGACTCGATTTCAGCTTAACCGGTTGATTCTTCGGTCAACGGAGTTATTTTGACTTTTGCTAATTTGTTAAATCTTGGTTTGGTTCTGTTGGGTTCGACTCGATTTCAGCTTAACCGGTTGATTCTTCGGTCAACGGAGTTATTTTGACTTTTGCTAATTTGTTAAATTACCACTAGACATAATAAAATATTAGCTCGAGATTCTTTATCCAAACACGATTTTTTGTTTACTTTCATTTAAATAAAAAAATGTCATTATACAATATATATAGTATTTTCACTTCTAAAATGATTGTAGAAGAGGAGAAGTGTTTTTGCATATTTTACGGTTTCAAAATAAAATATATGTCTTTGTCAAAAAAATATATATATGTATTCGTTTCTTTTTTATATATAACTCCAATATGGCATATATATTACCGATTAATTAGAATGTTAATTGTCCATACTCGACAACTAAGCACCAAATATATAAAATGATGGATGATTTTGAATAAGTGGGAAAACCTCATTCGGTGAAAATCCATTATAAATAGGAAAAATCTCATATAAGTATCCAAACTCTTCGAAATATGCCAATTAACATTATATTTCAGCTATTTACAAATTTAAACTGATCCAATCAAATGATTTAAAAATTAAAGACAATCTGGTCCACTCACAAATTACCCATTTAAAATTAGGGTTCAGGTTTTACTATCTCACTATTTTGCCTCTCACGATTTATCTAATTCTCACTTACAATCGGCGACAACTATCCTTTCGCCGGCGACGACAACCATTTTCGCCGGTGACAACAACCAATTCCATCGGTTTACCCCGCCCCCAAATCGTGGTAGTCAGGTACGATATCGTGATTTCTAGGGTTCACCATCGATTTATTTCGGCACTAGCATAGTTTTGTTCATTTCGGATTTGTGGGGTTACTACTCGATTTCTATTATATATTCAGTTGGATTTGTGGGAGATTCTGGCATATACCCTTAGTTTTCGGTTTGTTGCAGAGAATCATCAAAAAACTGTCAAGTTTAACTCCGAAAATAACAAGAGACAGAGATGAGGCAAAACTCAGAATCGAATCTTGTATACAGTTAATAACAAATAACTACTTTTTTTTTTGCAGTGATGTGAATATAAACTTTCACATGGGAGGTTTGTTTGAAAATATTGATGGCCGATGGTGTTACTTAGATGGGTTAGTGGAGAAAGATGTGTTGTTTGATACAGATTTGCTATCGTGGTATATGTTTGATGAATTTGTTAAGTCTCGCAGGTATATAGAGTGAGTTAATGAAATTTGGTATAAATTACCAAGTCAGACGTTGGTTGAAAGAAAAATAATTACAAAAAAGGTGTTGTAGATTGGGAGATATGTGAATTGTGTGACATGCCTAGCATAGAGGAAGAGTTAGATTTGTTTATTGATTATAAGTTATCGCAACCAACTCCAGTTAAAAAATCTAGTCACATGGATGATGAAGGTAGTTCTGATGCAAGACATTCATTTGGTGAATTCGGTGAATATGATAGTGATGAGGATGATGATTATAATACTGAGTTTAGTGGATGTGATAGTGATGGTGATGATATTGATGAGGATGTTGATTCTGTTTTTGAGAATATCGATGTTGCTTATGATTATGTGCAAAGGAATTCAGATGCTTTTCCAAATGAAGAGGAATACGAGAGTGAGGAAGAGTATGTGGATGCCAAGTGATGAAAATTATTACTTGGTAAGATATTCAATTCGGGTGAGGAATTTAAAAAAGTTTTGTATGATCATGTGTTGGATACTAAGTTTAATGTGAAGAGGACAAGGTGAGCAAAGAAGAGATTAGCTGCAGTGTGATAACCTGTTTCCGAAAATACTAGATAAAACGAAGAAATCGTGATCGAGACCCAAAGGCTTAAAGATTGTGATCTAAAAATCTTGAATAAGCTTTTAAAATAATTTTAGAAGCTTAGTAAAAGTTAGAGATCAAATAAAACTGAAGTGTTGCTAAATGTTGGACTTTACTTAGAATCCAAGAGAATCGGTTTTAGCATAATTTAAAACCTGAAAAAATTGTTTTCCGTCTCAAAAGTCTACAATGACTCTAAAGAAATCTAAGATTGATCTTATATGAAATATCTGATACCAAAATTATTTTACAAACCCTTTTCGTTAAGAACGTAAATCACGAAATAAAATATGAATTCTAAATTATGATCGTGATGATGTGAATTACTAAAATATAATAAATTTTAACTAAGGAAATATAAAACGTAATATGAAATATTATTATATGAACTCTCTAACATTAACAATATCAATCATATATATATGTATAAGTCTATATGTAAGTCTAAACATTGCACTAAGAACGAGACACAATGCACGACATTGCATCAAAATATGTATATGATTCTTAAAACAAGTTTTTTAAAAAAGAAAAGAAAAGAAGAAAATGATGGTATTAGCACCTTAGACCTAAAACGAGACAATCTACACACCTTTAGTCATTATTACAAGCAAACAAATCTATCTTTATCATTTCAACATCTCTCTCCTCTCACCGTAATAAAATCACATTGAGAGCTATAAGACCACACCCATCTTTTATTTCGCCGAAAAATGACACTCTTCCATCATCCTTTCATATCTTTGATTAAAGAGTAAGTACTCACGCCTTTGAATCTGTTAAAGCAAGGAAATAGCATATTCAGCATCTAGAAGGTTCGAATCAACAAATGGAAGTTTGGAGCTGAATCTGGAAAACACAAAAGGAAAGAAGCAACAAAAGGAAAGAAGACACTTGTAACAATGAAGAAAAAGGAAAAATGCATATTCTGAAGATATGGAGAGAATCAATGAACGATGGCATATATGGACTGAAGACATCATTGTTGAAGGTTGGCGAGATTATTGGCGAGAGAGTGCAGAGTCTGGAATCTCGGTGAGCGTAACATGTATGGGAAACACTGGTGAGAGAATCACTACAAAAAAAAATGCGAAATTCCAACGGATTTTTCCAACTGATTAATCCGTTGGAATGTTTCCAACGGATTTCCAACGGCATACCGTTGGAATAATTCCAACGCATTTCTAACGGCTTTCCAACGGACGTCTAACGGATTCGTCCGTTAGAAATCCGTTGGAAATTTCCAACGGCATATCAACGGATATTTGAGTTGGAAAATTTCCACGTATATTCCAACGGATTTCCGTTGGAAATAACGTTCGACGAATTTCAACGGCAATCCGTTGAAATTATCCGAACTTTATGAAACACGGCAATAATTCTGACGGATATCCGTTGGAAATAGTTCGAAATATTCCAACGGATATCCGTTGGCAAGTGTAACGGTTTTCAACGGATTTCCAACGGATATCCGTTGGAACGTTTCTCTATTTAAAGCACCCGGCCATAGTTCGCCCAAACCACTCTCTAAATCACTCTTATACTATTCTTTTACCAAAAATTCTCCTAAAAATGACATATTCAACAAATCCGAATATTCGTTCGTCCCGGCAGTGGATATACGAAAGAGTTGATTCGATTACAAAAGAGGTAACGCAAGAATTCATTAACGGTTTGGAACAGTTTATGAATTTTGCTTCTATGCAGCCGTTGTGTCAAGAACGTGGAAAAATGCTATGTCCATGTACAAGTTGTCGCAATTTTAAATATCGCAGTCCAGAAGATGTTTGTAAACATCTATTTCGAAGGGGATTTGTCGAAGATTATTATATTTGGCGATTTCATGGAGAAGAAGTTCGGACAATCACAACGGGACAACATGTCTCGGCCGAGCAGAGGTATGATGTAGATGAAGATGTAAGAAATCCTTATGTTGAAATGGTGACAGATGCTTTTCCTGGGGCATTGGCTGAGCAAAACTCATCACAAGATCAGGAGGAGCCAAACGTCGAAACAAAACGGTTTTTCGACATGTTGGATATGGCAAATCATCCTATCTATGAAGGATTTAAAGAAGGTCAGTCACGTTTATCTCTTGCATCAAGATTGATGAGTATGAAAACGAATTACAATGTCACCGAAAGTTGCATGGATTCATTTTGTCAAACGTTGCGTGAATATTTACCTGAAAATAACGAAGCTCCAGAATCGTATTATGATACGAAGGCTATGTTGAAGAATTTGGGAATGCCTTATGAAAAGATTGATGTTTGCAAAAATGGTTGCATGCTGTACTGGGGTGAAGAAAAAAAAGTACACCGATAAAGTTTACAAAGAGTTTAACCAGTTGGGTATGCAGCGGTTGAAACAAATGATGAACAATGCCAAACGCCGTCATCAGCTGCATGAACTGCCACCGGAGTGGGCAACAAATGACTTGTACCGGCAGCTTCTTACGCATTGGAACTCAGACCATTTCAAGAACAAGAGTTCCAAGGCGAAACAAAGTCGTTTGTCCCAAAAAATCGAGGGTGATGGGCCTCATCGTCATACCTCCGGTGCTAAATCATTCAAGAAGAGGCAAAAAGAGATAATATTTATTTAAACTTTAATTTAATTTTTAATTAGTTTTTTAATTGTAGATTTTTTATTATGTTAATAATATATATATATATATATATATGAGAAAGAAATGGGGAGAACGCCATCAATCGTAGAGTTGGTCGCTCGGACACACAAAAAGTCTGATGGGACATATGTCGATCCCCGTGCAGAACGAGTTGTA